GCTAAGCCGCCGATTGTGAACCAACAGTGCCTTGTTTACAAATTTCAATGTGACCTGTGCGATGCAGGTTATGTTGGTTTCACACGCCGTCATCTACACCAACGTATTGAAGAACATAAAAACTCCTCTTCGTCAATTGGCAAACATTTTCGCGACAAACATTCTTTGACTCCAAAGGATCTTACAAAGAACTTTAGCACCTTAATGAAGTGCACGAACAAATTTGACTGTCTCATCTATAAGATGTTTTTTATTCACAAGCTAAGACCTGCTCTCAATGTACAGTCTGATTCAATTCGTGCTAAGGTTTTTAATTAGCTTTTTACTAGCACTTTCTTTGTAGTTTTATTGTTTGTTTACACCTGCAAAAAATTTTTCATAATTTGTATGCGTATATATACATATATTTACTGTATTTCATTCCATTCACTTGACAATGACCAAAGCACGGTCGAAACGTCGTGTTTTACCATTCATTTTTATTGTCAAAAGTTTTAAGAAACCCTTGCTTATAAGGATTATTATTATTATTATCATTGTTATTACTATTAGTATTATTATTAATATCATTGACATTTTCGTTGTTATTGTTATTAGTACTGGCATATGCAATATTATCCTTGTCCTTGTGGGAAGTGGGGTTGTCTTGGCTAGTATGGTAGTAAATGCAAAGTAAAGTTTTTTGTTATGTCTTATTGGTTCCTAGAAGTAATTGTAGATTGTTTTTACTTAGGGAGGAAGACATGTGTATGTATTGGTTTGATTGGATGATGGAAAAATGGAATAGTTTGAAATTGTTAGTTTGAGAATGATGTGGGTTTTCCTTTATAATTTTATTCTCTCTCTGCTCTATATCACATGGATATCCAATATGTGTATACACATGTAGGTTTCTAAAATATAGATCAGTGTTTTTTTCTGCTTCCTTGATTCATGTGTAATCTTCTGTTCACCTGTGCTATTCTGAAGGTGCAAGCCAGTAACCGAGGCAGCTCTTAAGAATGCAGAGGAAGCAGGCTGAAAAACTTTGCTTCTTAGGAAAACACAACAGTATTTACTGCATGAGGTTCATCCTTCAACATATACATGTATAGCATCTTGGGCCCGATGTGCCCAACAATTGGCAGATTAAGAAGGAAGTTGAAGATGCTATGGTACATTATTTTCCTTCCAAAGTAGGGTCTTGTGAGTTGATTTTGTTGTGGAAAGAATTTTCCGGCTTACTTTTTCTACATTCTTTAGCGCTGCTCCTATTAACCCTCTAACCAGTAACAGTTTTTCTTACCAATTGAATGGAAACAAAACATACATTGTTCTATAGAGCAAGGGAAATTGTCATTATTTTTTTATTTATCACAGTATTCTACTAAGTTGCACTGGTCATCATCAATGCCTTTATTTTATTATATTTTTATCAGACATTGCTGTTCTACTAAAACTATGGCACGCCTCAAAATAAATCTCTATTGTGGATAGTACAGTAGAGCCCTGCTAACTTAAACTCCCAATGGAAACGAAAAATGGATTTAGTTAACAACAAATGACAGAAAAAATTGGTCAAGGGAAAGTGGATCTTGTTTGAGTTACTGGGTGCTTTAAGTTAAAAGAGTTTGAGTTAGATGGGTTCTACTGAAGTGAGCAGTAGGTACATGTACTCTAGTAAATTTCCTGTTTTCACATTTTAGGTTACTCTCAGAGAAACAGTTTGACTTCTTCAGCCCAGATGACAGTGAGTTGGACATGGCAGCAATTGAAGTCTTTTCTAAATCAAGAGAGCGTTCAATATCTGCTCCGGATGTTTACAGATGTAGAATCATCAGTGGAAATGGTCCTTTAGTTGAGGTATGGAATACTGCTTGATATAAGAAACTACAATCAGTGGCAAAAGTTTTGGCAAGCTCTTTTACCTTTTTTTAATTTTTTCCCATGACTTTCATTTATTTCCCACTCTCCTCAATTTTATTGTTGCCTTGTGTCGCAAAGTGGTCAGCAGTTTCTTGCAAAATTATTGGGGGGAAAAGCAGGTGAAATTAGCTCCCAGTTGGCTTGTTAGTGCAGTTAGTAGAGCTCTGCACTGATATCGCAGAGGTCATGGGTTCAAATCCCTTACTGGCCTGAATTTTTTTCAGGCCTTATTTCCACCACTTCGTAAGTGGGATTCATTATTGCAAGGATTGCCTTCATACATTTCATGAAACTGCAGTACACATATCTGAATTTCATACATTCAAATTCACTAGTTGACTTATTAGAAATGAATTACTAGATTGCTGTTTATCATGTTGAATGGAGGATTGTTGACAACCTAGCAAAAAGACACGTCAGCTGCTTTTGCCACACATAGTATAGTTAGATGTAAATTATTATTGAATGGAAGTGTGATAATTAATAGGAAATGAATCAAAAAGGGGCTTATGTGGTGGTGCATGTATATATGTAGTCTCCAACATATTAATTTTAACAAATTGCAGCTGACCACAGTCTTGCATGCAAGCTGTATGCAAGCTGAAGATGGTGGTGAAAATGATTTTGACACCGTATTGCAAAACATACAGCTCCCTCTAAGTCAATAGTTGCCTCAATTACCAGATTTTAACAAACTGTAAGAATAGTTTGTTTGTTCGATGTTTTGGTCAAATTGAAGTCATATCTTTCTTCTAAAGGATCGATGCGGACCATTTGTTCCCACATTCGGCAAGGAAAGTACACCAACAGTATCAAGTAAGAATATTGTGTTATGGTTTGAGCAAATAGGGAGCCAAAGAGCTACTTGGATTGAACACTGCCCATGAGCTATTCTGTTAACAGTTGTCCAGTTTGTCTTGTGGCTGTTTTTCAAATGTGCTAAAAAGCTTTGTCAATCATTCTTGCTCTTTTATTTACACGCTAGTTGTTTTCTTTTATTTACAAGCCAGTTGTTTTCTTTTATTTACAAGCCAGTTGTTTTTCTTTTGGCAGTCTAAATCCCACAGGGATCAACGAACGCTTTCCGTTCCACTAATTTATTTGTGTTTTTCTCGTTGCCATGTACCCCCCAATAACGTAGCTCCATTTTCTGCCTTTAAAAGCACACACAACCCACAATTTCTCTATTCGCTCCGACGAAGGGCTAACGCTCGAAACGTCAGCTTTTGTAATCGTTACGGTGGCCAATTTACCATTTCAACTTTGTTGATATATCCAAATTATTTCGTTACCCCCACCGACGCAGCCCCAAACAGATTCTTTAGAAACTATCAGCCTTTATTCATTTGTTTTCTTTTCAGTTGTTTGTTAAATCTCATCCCGTGCCTAGCTTTTTGAAGTATGCTATTTATCGTTGTGGTAATTTATAAACTTTGAATAATATCTCTGCAGCTGTAGAAGCCAGCAAATTACTGCAGAGGAGACACAGCCGAACTTCAAGCGTTGGTAATGCCAATCCAAGATTGTTTGACAACAACTCCCTTGTGCCAAACAATGAGCATACAAACAGGATAGAGAACCCTATTGTGAAGTCTGTACTAAATGGCACTGTCCTGTGCCACTCACCGTCCAGTCCTCAGAAACCCAAGAAATCAGTGAGTTTTCTAATCATTACTCAAGAAGACTGTATAAGGAAGATAAGGGTCAGTCAGCTTTCAGGATGGCCAATATTTCTGAAGTCTATCCTGGTTTTAATGACACGGAGTGACTTGTGATACTACTACTACTCCTGCGAATAGGTTGCTAGCTCAGGAAAGAGTTACCCACCCGCCCTTCTTTCTTTCCTCAAATTTTATCAGGTTTTCCTGATAGTCCTCTGGGACCCTTTTTTGTCTTTGTCATTCGGAAGTATCCGGGGTTGAAAGTCAACAGTAGAGGTGTCCATATGCAAGAAAAAAAAAAAAAGAAAGAATATTCGAGTAAATGAACAAGCAAGGAAATAAACTAAGGAATAAAGATATTAGAGAATTGAAAATTTGTGGGTGCCGGAAGTACTTAATGTATCGGAGAATAAATGAATAAATAGATATGAAAACTTGATACTCTTCCAGTGATTAGTCGGGGAGCGAAACTGGCATAGATTAACTTGCTGTGCATTCCAAATAAAAAAATTAAATAAAGTTATTTTATTTATTTGGTTTTTTTTTGTCGTTATCACTGTGTTTTTCATGATAGACCTACTTAACATTGTTTAAATTTCTAATAGTTTGTTGATTGCAGAGTTCATTGCATCGTTTGAGGATGGCTAGTGGTGATTACTGTTTTGAAATCCGAATATAAATAACACTCAGTACTTCGTCTCTTCAGGTGCAACGCATGCGAACTAACTCCACAGACGACTGGGAAATCTCAGAAGGTGAAGTTCATCGCGGACCGAGAATAGGATCAGGTTCATATGGAACAGTTTACAGAGGGACATGGCATGGTAGGGCTTAATGCGCCTGTTATATCTTTAACTAACGTCATACAAACCACTCACACACTGTTGAAACCACGATGTAGCCAATAGAATCGTTATTATTGGACCAGTAGTAACTTCACAGATACTTGTATAGGCTTTGTATGATATTGCCTTGTTTTTAATCTCTAGGGGCAGTGGCTATTAAAACGTTAAATGTGTCAGAACCAAGTCCTCAACAGTTACAGGGATTTAAGAACGAGGTGGCAGTATTAAGGTATGTACGGAGATGTAGCTTGTTCTATCCTGTTAGACAGTGTTAATCAATACCGATTAATCAAGTCCTCAAATATGTATTATTTAGCCAGTTGTTTTTGACTCAACAAAAGGATTTTTCGAATGATATTCAGGCTTTTTCAGGTTTGGAGTATAATGCTTTAACCGTGAGTAAAATCCTAATTAAGGTTAAAGACAAAATGTCGGTGGATGTGAAGTACACTCATGGAAATTTATTGGTGTATCCTTTTTGAATTAGTTTTCCTTGTATTCCCCTCAAATGCTCTTTTTTTCCTTCTCTCATGAAGCACAGTAAATTGTCTTATCTTTTCTGATCATGGCTTATGGTTATTGTGGTCCTATCAGATACTCACTTTGTTCTGCAGAAAAACGCGACACGTCAACATTCTGTTATTTATGGGCTGTATGGCCAAACCAGAACTAGCGATTGTGACACAATGGTGTGAAGGCTCAAGTTTATACCGTCATCTTCATGTCACAGAAAGTAGATTTGAAGTTCTACAGTTGTTGGACATTGCAAGACAAACAGCACAGGGAATGGAGTAAGCATTCTTTGCGTCAAATAGTTTGCGTTCTGTTGCTGTAAAAATCCATCTTTTTGTTGTAAAATACGACCTCAGAGTGGGTGAATCGAGGAGAGTGTCATTATAGGGCTCTTTGTGGATGGTGCATTTTAAAGCCTTTGCTTGTACTCCTTGTACTCCCTGTACTCCTTGTACTCTCTGTACTCCTTGTACTCCTTGTATTCCTTGTACTCCTTGTACTCCATGTACTCCTTGTACTCCTTGTACTCCATGTACTCCTTCTACTCCTTCTACTCCTTGTACTCCATGTACTCCTTGTACTCCTTGTACTCCTTGTACTCCTTGTACCTCTTGTACTCCATGTACTCCTTGTACGCCCTGTACTCCTTGTACTACTTGTACTCCTTGCACTCCTCGTACTCCATGTACTCCTTGTAGTCCTTGTACTCCCTGTACTCTCTGTACTCCCTGTACTCCCTGTACTCCCTGTACTCCCTGTACTCCCTGTACTCCTTGTACTCCCTGTACTCCCTGTACTCCCTGTACTCCATGTACTCCTTGTACTCCTTGTACTCATTGTACTCCTTGTACTCCCTGTACTCCTTGTACTCCATGTACTCCCTGTACTCCTTGTACTCCTTGTACTCCTTGCACTCCTTGTACTCCTTGTACTCCCTGTACGCCCTGTACTCCTTGTACTACTTGTACTCCTTGTACTCCTTGTATTCCATGTACTCCTTGTACTCCTTGTACTCCATGTGCTCCTTGTACTCCCTGTACTCCCTGTACTCCTTTTACTCCCTGTACTCCTTGTACTCCTTGTACTTCTTGTACTCCTTGTACTCCTTGCACTCCTTGTACTCCTTGTACTCCATGTACTCCTTGTACTCCCTTTACTCCTTGTACTCCCTGTACTCCTTGTACTCCTTGAGACATGGGTCGTCAAGAATTTTGGCTTTGTACTGATAGATATCTTTTTTATGCACAGCTATCTTCATGCGAAGTCCATAATCCATAGAGATCTCAAGTCAAATAGTATCCTTTGGTTTGCAGACACCTCTTTGTCATAATAATTACGTTTGTTTATCCAGTCCCACACTGACTCGTTCTAGTTTCTCCCTATTTCGTCACTACGTTATCTACTGAGTGGCAGGTGAAAAAGTGCGGAGTGGTGAAACACCAAATGGTTAAACTTAACAACGGAAAACTTTGTAAAGAAGTCAGTTAGTTTTGGTTTGTTACGTGACTGTGATTGTTTGGTTTTTGTCGTAATATCCTTAGCTTTTTACAGACATATTTCTACAGGAGGACTTAACAGTTAAAATAGGTGACTTTGGTTTAGCGACTATCAAATCACGGTGGAGTGGAAACCAGAATTTCGAACAACCATCCGGCTCCATTCTGTGGATGGCAAGTTCTTGAACTGTTTTTTTTTGTTCTTGTTATGTAAGGACAATCCTGGCGAAAACTCCACGGGACATTTCCCAAAATCACACTTTACGACTCTCTATGAATATATTGCGGGTAACCCTTGTAATGATGTTGTAAAAATGATCAAGCGTTCCTCTCCCCCTTCTCTCTCCCCCCCCCTTCCTTTTGAACGATTACAGCATTAAAGACATTAAGCTCAACAATGTAAAGGAGGGGAGATGGTTGCCCCAAGACTTATATCCAAGGTTGCACATCCTTTGGTGAAAAAGAGCAAGGGCGGTGCAAAGATCGCGAAAAGTAATTTCAGTATGGGTGCTCAGTATATCCCCAGACAACGTCAACTGCTGATTTACGATTATCTTAAACTAGGATATGTTGTCATCACAGGCCTTAAGAGAACTGGCTCTCCACTCCCTCTTCCGGGTTGAGAACTATTTAATCGGTTAGGGTTATCACGTATGTGAATTGTCTTACTTGCCGGTAATGCAACTCAATAGGGTCGTCGATTCAATAATCGCCTTCTTCGTTTAAATTGTGTGCTTAAATTTTAATCGAGGGCGGACTATTTATTGTGCCGATTGATTTCATGTCAGGCGAAGTTACGGAAGGAACTTGTTTTCAACATAACACGAGATTTTTCAATCTTCATTGCAGGCGCCTGAAGTGGTGCGGATGCAAGATCCAAATCCCTACTCATTCCGTTCTGATATTTACGCGTATGGAATTGTACTTTACGAGCTACAAACCAGTATGTTACCTTATCCCCATGTAGGGAATAAAGATCAGGTTCGTACACCACTAAATTTATGAGCGTGTTTTCTAACAGCATGTAATTTTTGACGTATCATGGTTATTCCTGGCTATGTCGTTACGCCAAGAGAAAAATGTAGGATTATTTTCCCTTGATCGCACGTTATCACTGCTCACTGTCGGTGCCATGTATGATAAGCTTGCTCGCAATACACAGAGACACAGAGACAGTCGCACGTTAACACAGAGAAACTAAGAGAAGAAGGAATTGAGAAATAACCTGCTTAAGATAGAGAGGCCTATGGCCAATGCAGAATGATTGACTCAGTGATGTTTGCTCAGTTGCGTGGAGTTTCCCGGAGGAGCCTTGTTTCTATGAATCACTAATGGCGTTAAGATTCTTCGAATAATCAGATGCACTTCAGATGAATGAAAATGTGAGTTATTTGGTGATCGTTTTCTTTTCATTTTTTCTTCCCCTCAGATCTTGTACATGGTTGGTCGAGGTTTTCTGAGGCCTGACTTAAATAAACTTCGATCAGACGTACCCAAGAGTTTCAAAAAACTTTTATTAGATTGTATCAAGTTCAAAAGAGATGAAAGACCACTCTTTCCTCAGGTCAGTTAGCTTGTGTAAGAATGATGATAAGATTTAACTCGCGTATACCCGTACACATTCTTGAGTGGTTAGGGGCACTTTTAGAGTGAAGCGGTTTTTATAGGATCACAAAACAATGATCGCAGCTTGGGCGGGTCTCTGATATTGATTTCGTTAGAAACACAACAGCCTTTTTCGTTACCTACATACTGGATTGATTTCTCAAGTGTAGATTTTAAAATGTTTTTGGTCAGTGTTACATCTAACAGCTGTTAACCAGACTGAACGAGCTCGTTTTCTTCAAGGGCGGCAATTACCTCCTGTTAATTATTTTCTATGCCAAATCTTTCTCTTTACGGCAAGTACATTTAAACGTTGCTTTTGTAAAAGGCATTTTTTTCGCTGTTTTACTTTGCAAACTGTTGCTGTTGGTATGATTGTCAAGTTGCATTAGCTGCGTTTTTGGTAGATCTAATGCTTTTTAATAAAGTTCTAAAACAATCTTTCGCAGGTACTTGGATCTTTAGAGTCTCTTATACGATCTATGCCGAAGATCCACCGAAGTGCATCCGAACCCTGTTCGTTAAATCGTGCCGGAAAGATGAACTCAGAGATCGGTTTCTTTGGGGCCCCACCCGAGACCCCCATCAGTCCATTTGGTGCTTACCAGCCGTTTTTCACTGCAGTAGCCGGGTACTAAACGACGTAAAAAGGAAATTGCCTCCTCTTCAAGCTCTTTGCGGAGGTATGGTGGAAAGACGTAGTATCTGTCACGCACAATTTCGCGTGACCTACGACAGGGAAGGTCACACAACTTAACGTGTTTGCTAATGGTACTCTTAGGGAGAGAGAAAAGTGGAAATTCGAAAAACAAAAACCTGTCATCGTGGCAATTCCGCGAATTATGCGAAGATTCCTTTTGATGTGTGCGTCATGAAATGGCTTTCTTACCAACATTTATAAGAGCCCTCAATTCACAGGTAGAAAATAACGGGCGATCACCCTACTTAGCGTTTAAAACAACTTACACACCACAAAAGGGGAAAAATACACCTCAGACTCTGACCATTAGGCCAGTCCAAATAAGAAGGCTCTCACCATGAAGCTCAAGACACGGAAGAAAATTCCAGCAGTTGTATCTCACGCTAAAGACTTAATTTATTTTAGAGCGTGCGTATATATACACACATTCCTCAAGGTATCAAAGCAGGGTGTTTACACTGGAGGAAATCTGGAACGTTTCTGTTGCTGTATGATTCTAGCAACATCAGCGTAATTAATTGAAATGGAAACAAAACAAACCAAAAAAAAAATAACAGCAAATTAAACCGAAATGAAGCACTGTGTAACATATGAGAATGAATTTGCCTGCTTAAGCCCTTTTCTCGGGGCGTGAAGCATTTACAAGATTTTATAAGGAAATGGAAAATACATATTGAAAAAATGGGCCCAACAGGATCATGGAAGGTGTTAAGCTTGCTTGCTCGCGGATTTTTTTGCAGCCTTATTAAACGCACTTAAAGAAGGAAAGATAGGAAATTCTTTGCTGGACAAACAATAAACCAAATGACTTTCTGTCGTAGGCAAAGAATTTAAAATGTTGTCAAAAGTTGAAGCTTTGTTTAGTTTGACTTCTATTCATCAAGGACATACCACTTTGGCTTTCTCTTCTTTTAGATATTTATTGGTATTTACGTATTCATTTGTCTGTCGATACCAGAAAACCACCGACTATCTTGCGCTAGCTGCATATGCCAAGGAAATGCTGCAGTGGAGAAAACTTCGGGATTTCAATTTACTTTGAAAGTCCATACTAGTTTCACTAAATTGTTAACAAATTAAATGAAAGCATGCCCTCGCAAGCGAGTGCGATATCGCATGTTGTAAGTTTTGTATGCGTGTATCGCTGGTCTGTTTATTTGTATTCGTGAAGAATTTTTCTAGATTTTGTTATCATTGCATATTATTTTATAGTGTACATGTGACTTTGAAGCACTGCGTATTGAAGTAATGCTGTGCATTGACCATTTCTTTTAACTTATCTTCAGAAATGAGCAGTCTCCAAATATAGGCACGCACCGTGTGCGAAAATCAAGTTTTTTGGACGCAGTGATGTAAGTAATTCGGTAGATGGGGCTGGTTAATAGATACCTTTATTTTAATGAAATGCTGTATTTGTGCAAAATTTTGCAGACGAGGCTTTTCAATGAAATTGCGCAAAGTTCAAAGTATCATCTCCTAACTTATAAAATTGTATATTTTAAATATTTAACGACACTGTAAATGATGCAGTAGCACGGAAGTATATAAAGTTCAGATCATATGTGTGCGCTTTGTTGATTCCTTACGCCCCAAATATGACCAAGATCTAATTTCTCCTCATAATCAGTACATTATTGCAGCTCAGTCTTTGGGAGCGCCTATCTGATATTCGAAACAGGCGGGTTGGAATCCCTTTCCCTCATTACATATAGTTCATTCAAGCGGTACCGAAGCTGGTAGAGATCACCCCGATGAGAGGAGTCCTTTTCCCTCCAGAGGACCCATACAGTGGGGTGTTCCTGCATGAAAGCGGCTCGGCGTCGGAGGCAAGGCCATCTTCCGTCCACTGCAAACGATTTCAGTGAAAAATTTGTCAAATTACAAATCACAGCTACACTTGGTGGCTAGATTGGCTGCTAAGCACATCATTTTTTTTTTCAGTGAGGTCATTAAGTGTCACGGTCGTTATCTTTATAAATGCGGAGAAACCAGTTTACCCTTGGACACATGCCATGCCAATGTTATACGTCCACACTACCTTGGTCCCTAGCTAAAGCGTAGTCCAGTCCCTGTTCTCTTTATACCGGGGAGAACCCAGACGCTGGGGAAATGGGATGGAATTCATCCCCAGTCTTTTCGCTTAATTTATCAAAAATTCAAGATGGCTTCCGTAGCTATACAGTATTAGGGGTCTTCACGCACAATGAGTGTTATTTCACGCGCCAATTCCTTAGCTCTTCAAGGTTACAAACACTGTTGTCATGTAATGTTACATACTCCTGTGGAGGAAAAGTTATTTGGCTTTTATCCTCTAAAACAGGCTGTCTTGGTAAGTACCTCTTTGTTATGCATGCACTCTTTAGTTTTTCTTAAATATAGAACTGACCTTCGAAAAATTTATTATATGACGAATCCGGCCCTGCTCGTGCAATCCCATACAAAACTATAGTGAAATCTGACGTGTGCAAGGCCGGACGGGTTGTCGAAAGCCGTTCTGAGAAATAGCCGTCTGGCCCCGCTGCCCTCACGTCGCTTTGTAGCAAAAAACTTAAAGAAAACAGTTATGAAAAAAAGAAAAAAAAAAAAGCCACGTTTTGCAAGAAATTGGGAGTTTCTTGGGAAAGAGTTCCATATGATAACCCCATACATTCATTAAGCATTCCATTTCATAAAGACTAAATATAAAGGTTTCTTGGCAACACACTATGCATAATTAATGTATGGGGTTATATGGAACTCTTGCCGTTTCTTGTTCTGACACGAAAAGAAAAGGAAAATTCACAATTCCAGAATTTTTTTGTGCTTGTGTGGCCATGTGTGCCCTTCTATTGCGTCCTGTAATTTAGATTGAAATTTTCAACACTTTGTGGTTGTATGATGAAATATTTATTGACTGAGTTTGGTTAGGCCGGACAAAAAAATATTTGGCTCTTGGTCATTAAGCATGGACCTTGCAGCGCTCAGTCTGTATATCATGACCTAGAGCCAAATATTTTACTATGCGACCCTCCCACTCGGTCAATAAGTATGTAATATTCACCTTCTAAACAGTAATGGATGGATCTCTTTATCACTAATAATGTTTTTTTAGAGCAAGCCAAGTGTATGCATGAACAGTTAGATTGATAGTACTGACTAAAGTTTGAAAAAAAAAGAACTATATATTGACTGATGGAAAGATTAGCCAGTAAGGTACATTATAATACATTAGACTTACTATGAAAATATGTTTGGTTGAGAGCATTCAATCATGACACCATAGCATGTGAATTTAATATGGCAAAAAGAATATATACAACAGATATCACATTTCAAAGTCTGCCTAGTTTCCAAGCCCCTCATTAGTGTAGTGTTCTTAAATTTTTGCAAACTCAGAAAGAAACTCAAAATGTGAAAAAAAAAAAAAAAAAAAAATAGAACGATTATTAAATTTGGTTTCTGCATGATATCATGATTTATCAAATCTCATGTCTGCCTTATGTGCCTTAACCTTCCTCTTTGGTAGGTGAGAGAAACTCAGATCTTGGTTTTTGTTATTCATGATTATATGCCCAACTGATCTCATCCTATAATTGCTTGTATATGTTATTCACTAGCTTGAAGCTCTGTTTTGGGAGAACTTTCCTTGTGGTCTAGGGTATTGGTCAGGGGCAGTATAAGACAGAGGTCACATTTTTTTTAATAGGGACCAACTTAGAGTGAAAGTTTTTTTGTAATAGAACTCAAAACTTTGCTCAACTTTTTACAAGAAAAAATTGTTTCACAGAATTCAGAAATTAAATGAACGAAAGTAGCTTTGATTATTTCATTGTAAATAATACCAAAGTTATAAACTTCCTGGGCCCAGTGGATCAAGGGCTGATTAGTGCTACCCCAAAGTTAAATTTTAATCCAATTTCTTTAATTCCTTTGTTCAAAAACCTGTTTGGAATAATTTTCTCTATTCTCTTAAGAGCATCCAATCACAACATTGTAGACAAAAAAAATTATGCTAGATTCTCTTTTAATGCTTTCAGATCCAAAATCAAATTTCACACCAATCCTAGGTTATCTCGACCCAACTTTGAAAAACCTGGCCCTGAGTTACATTTTGGGAAAAACTGTTACATCACAAATGGTTGTCTGATGATGTGTCAACCCATGTAATAACAAATTTGCTAATTTAAAAATTCCTTTTGAACCAATTTTCCATGGGCAACCAAAGGGATTTGAGTGAGAGGAAATTATCTTTAAACTGACTGATATTTTGAATGCTTTTGATAAGGTATTGTAGGATGGTTCAGCTATTTCAGTTCTGGTTTGTCCAAGCAAATTTCTGCCTTTATCTTTGGGATTATTCACACACACACTTTAAGGTCCAACAACTTTCAGTAGTACTTTGTATTGTGTGTTATCAAGCTCAAGAACTTGCAGACCTAAAATGATTTGTGTTTGAAGATTTCTACTAATAGGTATAAACAGAAATTAAAATGGTGAAATCTCACCATGTTGAGCTCACTAACTTTCCTAACATAATTTTATCAATTGGTGTAAATTCTAGCCTTTAAACAATTATTATGGAACACCAGGTTGTGTCTGTTGCTTTTACAACACTATATACTTTATAAAAGCTGTTTTTTTGTGGTGGAGTACTTACTGATGCCACCACAAGCAAATCTTTTTGCCTCTTACACATTTATGTATTTTTTTGTAAGAGCTGCTTTGTTTATTGATACAATTTACTATTAGTCAAATGGAGGGCTATTTTTTGCTATTCAATGACTCTGAGGTGAATAGTTCTTGGCTAGTTACTTCTTAGGGCCTGTTTACATGGAGGTGGGGGACCCCAAGTAGGTGGGGTAATCCACTTAGCAGCCATGGTAGAAAAATAAAAGGTGTTTACAGACAATCTTGCAAACCCTGGGTGCTGGGGTGAAGTTTCTCGAGGTTGTTGTTGCACTTGCGATTAGAGAGTTTAAGTATAGGCATCCCAAGCTTGCGTCTTGACAGAGATGACAGATTAATTTGGACACATTTGAATTTATTGATGAAAATGTTGTGTGTTGTGTTACATGATGCTAGGTTATGTGAGGAACCTGTTAATTCATTAACTTGGTGTAGTATGAGACAATATAGTGTGGTTGATTTACGTTGCTACATACGGTATTCTGAAATGTGAATTTTTCACACTCCTTGTGTGTCCATAGCAGTTTCTGGTGATCTCTGGTTTGATCCTTGCTGTCTTGCGTTTGCTTTGCCATCACTGTTATTCCTATCACACTCTGTCTTATGAGACAAAATTTATTTTTCCCTAAGATTTTTGCCAATAGTTCAATAACACATGAATGCAGTGTTGAGTTCATTGTAAAAATGTGAGTAAATTGCTTCCAAGAGGTGCCATGGCTAAGGGGATGTAAAAGTTGGTGTTTTAACATTTAGTTGTGTTTGAGATGGCCATGAAATGTAGAAAGTTTAACAACACATTTCCCTTTTGAGCTTTTTGCCATTAACATGACCTTGGCAATGCAGGTTACCCACCTTGTGACATTTACATGGCAAATTGTCACCCTAGCTGACATGATTACCCTACCTGGCAGACCGTGCAACCCACCAAGGCCGGTCACCCCACTATCATGATCAAGATAAAATAAGAAATCATATGGACAGGCAGGTTGCCCCACCTAGGCAGGTTATGTCACCTACCTCAGGTCCCTCATTTTCATGTTAATGGACCCTCAGTTAGCCAATCAGCACTACAAAAAAAAAAAAAACTGTTCACTTGTGAGGTGTGTATAAATAAAAAAAAATTTAAAAATACATTAAAAAAAATAAAATGATAAGTGACATCATGAGAATAGACTTAGCTTGCAATTGCTGATTTTGACAAAGAAGGGTGCATTGTGACACCTGCTCCCATCAACAAAGCACTACTGAGTGGGTGCAAGATAGAGAAAAATTCTGGTGTGAGAGCTGAGTTAGTTTTCAGTCAGAACTAAAAAGTCGCGTGATTTCTACAAATTTTCAGATGCAGCTTCGTTTTGATGGCCGAATGGGATTTCCTGGAGGATTTGTGGATGATTCTGAAGATCTCGAGACTGCTATTAACAGAGAGGTTGTCGAAGAGCTTGGAGAAACAACAAATCCTGTTAGCATTACCAAAGAAAACTATGTGATCTCTCATTTGTATGAGGAGTATGTATCCGAGCTGGACATCGCAAAGAAGCTTTGTCTCCACTTCTTTGCCAAAAAAGTTCCCTTAGAACAATTCTTTGAACTTGAAACAAGGAGACATGGGGGACCTAATTTAGGTTATGAGGTTAGTTACTGATTGTTTTTCATCTCTGCCTTATAGACACAGCAGTTGGTACTGAAACATTTCTTAAGTCTAAAAGTATTTTCTTTTTTGTGAAAACGTATTACCGTATTTTATCGGCTACAAGCCGAGCCCTGCTATAAGCCGAGACCCTAACTTTTAACTCTTAAACTTAATACGATGTCTTCAAACATAAACACAAAAGATTCAGCTATAAGCCGAGACCCAGTTCTTAGAACGTATAAGAGCTCATGAAAAATTTTAATCACATTTAGCTTTTAAAATCTGTTAAAATGAAATGAATGAACGGGTTAGTTATCCAACGGCACGGGCAATTCGCTTGAAAAGCAAGGTGTCATGAATATTTAACGAAAGCTAGGCTTACCTCTCGGGAAACAACTGTATCAATATTGTTACCTACTCAATACAATGGCTAAGGATAACAACAAATCACAGTTAGTACTAAGCTGAATTTAATGTGATCCGATCAAATGAATAAAATTGAATTCACGGCTTGATCATATGGACATTCCGAGTTCAGAGACCTGTCTTTAACATTCCTGTGTCGATAGTCGTTCATTGTCAATCCGTTATCATGCCAAAAGCCCGTCGTACATAATACAATCTAGCGTTCAGACTTAAAATAGTCGCCGAAGCAGAAGCCGTCGAGAACAACTCTGAGATCGCGAGGGAATACGGCATCAGTGAGTCAATATGGTTTGTCGCTGGAGAAAAGACCAAGAAAACCTCTTCAACGGCGAAATAAAACTGTCCG